TGCCCAGAAACCGTCCCGCGTCCTGGTGCTGGCCGCCATGCTGACACGGGCAGCTTGGCCTAGCGCCGGCGTTTGTGGCCTGGCGCACGGTGGCAGCGCGGCAGCTTCCTGTCTGTGGCTGGGATGCTGCCAGCGTGCTGCCTGTGTGCGGTGCTCTGGCCTCTGGTGGTGGAGCAGGCAGGCATTGGGCTGGTGGGCGGCGCAGTGCTGTCCCCGTGGTGCTCGTCTGCCAGCCGGCAGGAGATGCATCCGGCTGGCAGTGCGAGGCGCCTGAGCAGCACGTGGGGCTGTTTGTGCAGCGCCTCTTCCATGAGCCGCCCAGTGTGCTGCAAAGGTGGCACGGGGCGCTTGGCTGGCTCAATGCTGTCCCCACGGTGCTCGTCTGCCAGCCGGCAGGAGATGCAGCCAGGTGACAGTGCCAGGCGGGGGAGAACCACCCGGGGCTGCCTCTGCTGCACGTCTCCTGTCGGGTGTGCAGTGCTGGGCGATGGAGGTGCAGGGGCAGCCAGTGGGCTGGGCAGCGCCAGGCGGGTGAGAATCACCCGGGGCTGCCTTCGCAGCACCTCTTCCATCAGGTGTGCGTGGTTTGGCGATGGCGGTGCGGGAGCAGCCAGGGGCCTCGGCACGGGCAGCTGAGGGGATGCTGCCTGGTGCCCAGGTGAGTTGTTGAGGAGCCCAGGTTCAGCATCTGTGTCGTTGCTGCGCTCCCGGCTGGCCCTGGGGGATTGCGGCAGCTCTGTGATGGAAGAGGAGTTGAGGCTGTTGGAGGCACGTGGGCTCGGTGGTTCTGTGGCAATGGTGCGCTATGTTAGCCCCTCCCTTTTGCAGCTGTCCAGAGCACTCGCAGCTTCTGGAATAGCAGAACATCCCCCGGAACAGTGATGGCAGCCTTCCCACCCCCGCTTGGTGCAGACACCCACCGGTCATCTGTGCAGACCACAAACTCACCATCAACCCAGGCGAGCAAATGGTTGATTTCTGCATCGCCGGACAGACTGTTGGTGCTGGGTCTCTCTTCTGGGCAATGGAAGAAATGCCCGGTGGGGCAATGCCAGCTTTCCCCCAGCCACTCAGAGCAGACAGTCCCCCATCAGCTGTGCTGCTCCCAAACTTACCGTTGTTGATCCATGTGAGCAGATCGTCCATGCCTGCGGTGTCGTGCAGGATGCCTGGGTTGGATGTCACTTCTGGAGAAGGAAGAAAATCCCCAGAGGGGCACTGCCAGCTTTCCCGCGCCCACTCGGTGCGAGCACCCCCCCACCAGCTCTGCTGCCCCCAGACTCACCCTCGTTGATCCACGTCACGAGCTTAGTGATGTCCTCAGCGATGTCCTCCGGGATGTCTGTGCTCAGTGTCGCTGCTAGCAAAGCAAGAGCATGGCCAGCGGGGCAGTGCCAGCTTTTCCACTCCACTCCCCGTGCAGTAGACAGCCTGCCGCCTGCCCTGCAGCCCCTGAACTCACCGCCTGATTGCAGCAAGGCAGCGCTGCAGGTGAGCGGAGCCGTGGCTGGGTGGGGGCAGACGTTGGTGGGCGCTGGGTGCCCCTGGTCCTCCGAGAGCAGCATGGCGTCTTGGAAGGTCTCCATCGGCGGCTCCCAGGGGCAGGGTGCAGGGCCTGGGGAGCACCTGCTCCTGCAGGGAGGGTACCTGCAAAAGAACTGGGGGGGGCCGGGGTGGCCGGGGGCCTGCAGCAGGCAGGTGCCTGTGGGCTGCGGGGGCTCCGCGTGGAGGGGCAAGGCCCCGGGCCACAGCCCCATCAGCTGCTGGGGCGGCAGTGTCCCTGCGGGCAGGGGATGTCCTGAGCAGGGAGGAGGGGCGGGGGGGGGGAGCAGTAGCTGGGTGCAGCCCCCCAGGTAGGAGCAGCAGCACCGGTAAGTGCAGCCCCGCAGTTGGGGTCAGGCCCACAGGTGGCAGCTGAGCCAGGATTGGGGGCGGCCCCCCCGGGCAGCAGCTGCGCTGCCTGTCCCCAGGCACCTGGGAGCCCAGGCCAGACAGAGGCCTGAGGTACCAGGTGGGTGACAGTGGGGACAGGGAAGGGTTGGGGGGGTACCGGCATCGGTCCGCGGACGGTGGGCTGCATCCAGGCGGGGTCCGGTGGCGGCACAGTCGCGTCAAAGCAAGTGGCGTCGGGTGTCAGAGGTACCGTCAGCGCTCGAGGGAATCTCTCTGTGGGGAAATGCCAGAAGGGGTGCTGGGCTGAGACCCGGGGCATTGGGTGAGGTCCGGGTCACAGGAGTGGGATCTGGGGTGCTGGGGTGAGATCTGGGTCACAGGGCTGTTTTCTGCGGCTCTGGGCTGAGATCTGGGGTCACAGGGGTGAGATCTGGGGCGCTGGGGTCAGCTGGAGCGTCAGAGCAGGGGGAGCTGCTGCCTTACCTGCCATGACAGCTGGAGAGTGGCAGTTGGGGGAGCCCCTCCCCCCACGGGGGTTCTGTGACCGTTGGGCTCAGCCCCTTTCCCCCCGGCTTGCCATGCTTTGCCTTTTCGTACCCAGACATCCTTACCATCCCAACGATCAGTGACCATATGGATGAGCATTTTGCAGCCCAGTGCCCTTCCTTCCCGAGGGTCTGCCCGTCCCAGTGGGGATTTGCCATCCCTGCAGTGCCTTCTCACCCCAGGGATGGTTTCCCCTCCCACTCAGGATATCCCGTCCAAGCGATTGCCAGTCGTCACCACCCAAAACCGTGCTTATCCAGCCCATGGCTAAGGACTTAAACTGCCAGCATTGATTACCAGTGCTGGAAAGCGGCTGCAGCCGTGGTGGGCCAGTTAGTCAGGTGACAATGAAAAGGAGTGATTTCAGTGGGACAGCCCTGATTCAGCCTCCAGAACATTGCTCACTTTACATCGTGGGCTTTTTCTCCTCGTTTTGGCTGTGTCTTGGGGCATTGCTAGTGAGGACAGAGCAGACAGCGTTGTCTTTTCTGCTCTTCCCTCTCCTGTGCTTCCCTTTTCTGCTCTCTTCCTCACCTGCTCTTCGGCTCTTCTCCCTTCGTGTTATGCTCTTTCTTTCTGTTCATCTGCAGTTCTTCCTTCCTTCCTTGTATCCTGACTCCTCTCCTGCATCTGTGCTCCTCCTCAGCTTTTCTTTCTTACCCGTATCCTCTCTGCTCCTGTTGTTCTCTTCATCCGCTCTTCTGACTTAGCTGTGTCCTCCTTGCGCATCTTATGCTCTCCTGTTCTTCTCTTCTGACCACTGTGTGCTCTTCTGCTTTGCTGCTCTTTTCCTTCTCTGCTCTTCTGTGCTCTCTTCCTCCCTTCTGTTCTTTTTTGCTTCTGCACTTCTCCCTGGCCTGTGTCCTCTCTGCCCATCTTCTGTACTTCTGCCGTACCCATGTTCTCTCTTCTTCTCTCCAGCTGCTCTGCACTTCTGCTTTTCTGTCTTACCTGTCTTGGCTCGTCTCCCTTTCTGCTCTTCTCCTTGTCTGCACGTCGTTCTTACCTTTATCCTCTCTTTTATGCTTCTGCTCTTCTCCTGTTGTGCTCGTCTTTTCATTGCTTTGCTGTCTTGCCTGTATCCAACCGTTATCTCTGTTGCACTTTTCATCTTCTGCACTTGTTTCTTATCTGTATCCTTTCTTCTTTTTCTTCTCTTCTGCTCTTCTTTATTTCTGCCTTGACTGTATGTGCTCTTCCCCTCTTCTGCACTTCTAGAGCTCTTGTCAGCATCCGGTCACTGCCCCCCAACTCTGTGTCGGACTTCATTTTGGGGTGGAGGAAGGTAGGTAGGGCCTAGATTTGTGCAAGAACAGCTATTGCGCTGTGCCCCGGAGGTGATGAAAAAGAGCCCTGAGGAGCCAGGAGCACAAAGGCAGCGTGTTTCTGCAGAGGCCGCAGCGTAAGCACAAGTGAACCTTGAAGGGCTGCTTTGTAGCTCTCCAGGAACTGCTTTTGGGTGGGGGATTTTCTGGAGTTGTTTCCAGTTGTTGCTCGGAGGAGCTGAGGCTTTTTTCCTTGTATCTTTGCAGGAAAGCAGAGCGCGGGGAGCGTCTGTGGTGAGATGCTCAGGTGAAATTGCCTTCCCTGCACCAGCAGCCGGTTTGTGTCCACGTGATGCATGGTGAGGAGAAGCCTGCAGTTCTGTGAGTAAGCCTGGCAAATGGAATAATGGCTGTGGCCTTTTTGGCAAGTGTGTGAGGAGGGGTCTTTGGACAGGCTGCTCTTTTGTTGGTTGGTTTGTTGTTTTTGCAGGGAAATGCCATTTCAGCTGTTAGTTGCGACGGTTGGTTGGTGCTTGTTTGGGATTGGTCACGTAGACAAGCAGTGCTCTCGCCCCAAGGAAGTGAGAAATCTCCTGTGCATCCAGTCCTCTCCACGAGCCTTCCATTGCCTTTCCACAATGCCTCTAAATGCCTGTAGCAATGGTGGGGGGATAAATGGGGAAGAGACGAGGTGCCATTTGTGTGCACGCTCTGTATGCGGAGCAGGCGTCACCTGCTGAGAGCTGGGAGCCCTGCAGAGCGTTGTGGATTTGTTTTCCTTCCTTGTTGGGGCGCGATGCCCCATGTGAGGCCCCATCTGGACTACTGCGTCCGAGTGTGGAGCCTGCAGTGCAAAAAAGACAGGGAGCTGTTGGAGAGGGTCCAGAGGAGGGCCGCTAGGATGATCAGGGGACTGGAGCAGCTCCCCTATGAGGACAGGCTGAGGGAGCTGGGCTTGTTCAGCATGGAGAAAAGAAGGCTGCGGGGTGAGCTCATTGCAGCCTTTCAGTACCTAACGGGAGCCTACAGAAGGGAGGGGAATCAACTCTTTGAAAGGGTTGATGTGTGTGGGACGAGGGGAAATGGTTTTAAGTTGAGGGAGGGGAGATTTAGGTGGGACATCAGGGGGAAATTCTTTACCCAGAGAGTGGTGAGGTGCTGGAACAGGCTGCCCAGAGAGGTTGTGGATGCCCCGTCCATCCATGGAGGTGTTCAAGGCCAGGTTGGACGGGGCCCCGGGCAGCCTGGTTTAGCATTAAACGTGGAGGTTGGTGGCCCTGCATGTGGCAGGGGGGTTGGACATTCATCATCCTTGAGGTCCCTTCCAACCCTGGCCATTCTGTGATCCTGTGATGCTTTTGTAGGTGCTGTGTGCACCGGTGTCCTAGAGAGAGCCCCAAGGTCCTTGGTTTATTAAGGGCCTTTTTCTCCATCTCTCAGTTGTTTTTTCTTCCTTTCTTTCTGTTGGTCTGACATACGTGGCCCATCAGGTAATTCAGCGGGGAGTGGTGCCTTCTTGACCAAGGAAGAGCCCTTTGGTCCCAGCTCATGGGGAGAGGTTAGGATTGCTGAAGGGAGAGAGGATTCTTTGAGTGATGTGAGGGGTGTAGGAAGGGAGCTGACAGGTTTAGGGTTCCTTTGCTGTGCTCTGCCCAGGCTGTGACAGTGCTGGGGTTCGATTTTGAGTCACTCGGAAGACAAAATGAGACAAAGGGTGTTTTGTGCAGCCTGGACCCCTGCAACTCTGCTGTAGTGGCTGCAGCCCAGGGTTTCTACGTTAACTGATGAAATGTTTTGTGTTCACTTTGATACTGCTCTGCCTGCAGTCATTCACGCAGCACCAAAGCCCCTGTACAGTGCATTCCTTAAACCCAGAGAAGAAAATGTGTTATTTGTGGGCAAATTATATGATGTACATTTTTTAATTGCCAAATCTGCCTATGATGTACTTTAAAAAATGATTACTTGTTTGATGGAATTGGTTTCAGTTTTTAATTTACTTTTTCCAGTTGATCCTTTCTTTTGCGTCCTGACTTGATCCGTCTGGAGCTGCTGTGATCGTCTGTCTTCCCATTGCCCTTAGTTCTAAGGCTCTGTATCTGCTGTGGGATTGCCCAGCAGGGATGATGGTCATCTAGTTGCAGCTGGAAGACTGGACCAAGGGTGTTTTTCAGTAGCACTGTTTGTTTGTTACTGGTGGCGTTCTTGTTAGAGAGGTAGAGAGGGGCAGAGCGAATGAAGTGCTGCGTAGGCAAGTGAATGAATGTGAACTTCTCCGTCACAATTCCTTTGTTCAGGCTTTGGGCAAGGGGAGGATGTGCTGAAAAGTCCTGTTGCCAACACAGTGAAGCACTCTTGCCCTTGATGATGTGTTTTTTCCCATCAGTCTCCGTACTGAGTTGGCCGTCATAAGAAGTCCTAGTCCAGCTGCCTACGTACAGCAGTAAGCAGCTGTAGAGGAGGAGGATCTGGTTTGGGCATTCTTTCTCTTATTCTCTTCTGAATTCTAGCACTTGTCTGAGTGCTATCATCTAGCGGTGGCCTTTTCACTGTGAGTTCAGAAAGTGTGTACTGAGGGTTGTAGTTGGAACATCTGGGTCTGTTGAATGGGTGCCCTCATTTTCTTTCCTGCTCTATATGGATTGCAAGATCAAGATAGCAGTAACCTGTTTTGTCTTGCTTGTGAACGGGGAAAACCAGCGTTCTGTGAAGCAGAACCCAGTAGAGAAAGATCTGGCGCTGAAGATTGCGGAGCTGTTATGTAATGAAGATGCCTGTGATGGAAGAGCAAACTGCTGGGTTGAGAAAGCTGCCAGGCTGCTCGCTGGGAATCCTGTTGCTCTCAGATTGAAGGTAAGTTCCAGCTTCTCATCTCTGCTTTGTGCCTTGAAGATCCTCTTTGTATCTGATTGGGTGCTCCTAGCATGTCATCTGGTCATCTCAATATTTCCTTGGCTAAATTATTTTAGAATCAGGAATCTTAAATCAATTACATATTAGTTTCTTTGCTGCCTGCTGTTTTTGTCTAGCTTGCGTGAAGATTGCAGCTCTGGGCTTTCACATGCATTTTAAGGCTGATCTGTTCAAGAATGTGGGGAAACTGTTAGTCATAATGTCTAAGAAGTTGAGTTTAGAGAGGCAGTACTTGATGTGTCTGTTGTGACTAAGCTCCTTTTTAGTTGTTAGAGTTTAAAAATGAAGCGTGTAGGAGGTGCTGTCATTCTCAAGTACTGTGTAAATGCTTTCAGACCACGTCACTTTGGCACTTAGTTTTATGTAGCCCAGCAGCCATGACGTTGAGGTTCCTAGGGGCTTCTGTTGGCTTTCTGTTGTTTCACTTGGACTGGTGTCTGATCGGTAAGTATACAGATGTTATGTAGTCTATAGAAAAGTTTGGCTGGTAAGATGATCATGTTGAGAAGGATGATCAGAGATGAACGAGCCTTCGCAGAAGGGTGGTTATTCCTCTTCCTCTGATGAACTTTGTGCTTTAGAACTACCTTGAATCAGCCCCGGACTTGGAATCTAATGCAAAGAGTTGGAGAGCTGTCAAGAGCAGTCATCTCCTGGCTCATTCTAGCTTTATTAAAATGGAATTTGCTTTGGGAGATGTCTGTCAGTGCGAAGAGGCACTTGAAAGCTATGGTTGTATCGTTTTTGTATTTAAGAAACAAACAGAAGCAATCCAGAATGGAATATTTTTTTCTCAGTCAGAGAACATCTAGCAGGTATCGGTTTCCCTGTGTGACCAGTTTGTGGACAGGAGAGGAGTTTCTCTGTACTGAGGTTCTTAGTAGGCTTGGAGCCCAAGCCCTGTATTTGTCCAAGCTAGAAGCCTTGGGGAAGACTTGGTGATATGCAGGGTCAGTTATCTTCTGCCTCTGCAGTAAGAGAACGTTGTTCTGTATTTCAGTAGCTAATTGAGATTTCGCAAACGGTGGATCAGCTTTGTCCTGATCAACTGAACACAACCCACAGTGAAATAATGAAGAACTGTAGGTCTGCAGTATGAAAGAGAAGCAGAAGGCCACTTCCAGGAGAACATTCTCCTTCAGAAAAAGCTGGTAGGGCCAGCTATGCCGACTGCCTTCAGGGCAGATCGTCTGAGGCACAGCTGGCGTAGTGCAAAACAGTGTTTGTAGCCCATTCCTGGGTGAAGTTCTATGTTCCATTCTTCCCATTATGTTTTCTTTCATACCGACTTGCACTGAGTGGAGCTGATTTCACTTCCATAAATGAAGGTCAGAGCTTTGGGCACTTAAGGCTGTTCTCCTGCTTCCTTGTGCAGCTCAGACGTAAACAACTGAGGGGGTCGTAGCAGTTGAATCGTGCACTTACTTGGTCTACAGCTCAATAACATGGATTCAAAGCGTGCGATGGCTTTTAGCAGGACTTTGTTGAAAAGGAGTCTTTTCCGCCTTCTAGTTTTGGTCGTCTCCTTCACTGTGTGAAACGGTGAGCGAAGCTGAGGAGCTGTCTGACACCTTCCTGGAGATGGGAGCACAGCTGTATGCGCGTGCTGGGACGTTTCTACTCAAGCTGCCCAGCACAGCGAGGAGCAGTTGCAGCATCAGTCACTCTTCACTTTCTGCCTCTAGTTGATGCAGTTGTTGACCACTCTTGCTGTACATGTGTGGAACGCCCATATTCCAGAGATGAATTGGTGTGTGTAAGGCTCCCTCCTCACTACGTCTTACTCTTCCACGTGCCTTCAAAAGATTTCAGATGATGTGGAGGAAATCAGAACAGCTGGGGGAATCACTGGAAGAGTGTTCCATCGACTTTTCAAAATGCTTGGTTCCAGCTTGTTAAGCAAAGGCAAATAGGCGGGAAGAGGTTGCTAGGAGGCTCCTAAGATGGGAGGAATCTTCAGAGCTCCTTCCTTCTCTTGTAATGAAGCCCAGCTTAGATCAGATGTTAGTCTTCCTCATTGGGGTGTAGCTGCTCACTTCTTACCACTCTGTTTTTGCCCAGGTGCTGTTGGAATGCACAGTGCAGTGTGCTGGTAGTCTCCAGCACCCTGTGTGGCTGGGTTTGCAGTGGAACTCTGTGTCGGTGTTACCCCAGTGCAGCCATTGTTAAAACCACTTTGTCACTTGCTGCAAGAAACATCAAGACTTGGGACTTGAGACTCCTGAATCTATTTTTATCTGTTGGACCATGAAGTAAGCACACTTTTGTACATCTTAAATGCATTTGAGTGCTATTTTCTCTTTTCTTATTTCTTCTCCTGTATTTTCCTTTCTTTTCTTTCTTTTAGTACCTGATTTTTTTTTTTGCTTATTTATTTTCACAACAACAGGTATTTCTGCTTGGGATGGTATTCACCAGCAATTTAGAATCACAAGAGAAATTTAATACTCGTAATGAAACACATCAGCCTCCTTTCTCACTGCTGCTGCTGTGCAAACAGTGCTGTACTGAGAAGCAAACATCCCGGTGGGATGCTGTTCGTACTCTCATGCAGAATAAAGCAGTGTGAGAATTCCTCAGTTTGGAATTTGGAATTCCTCAGAGACTCACACAAACACAAGCATTACCAGAGGCCTCATCACATTCACTTCTGGCTGAGCAGGTGGAGATCTACTAGTGAGAAGACATATATTCGTATGTACGTGCTGATGTCACTCTGACTGTCCCACTGACTGGCTGTGCATTGTTGCCTGAGCAGCTGTTGGAGTGAAGTCTCTGTTTCTGGAAGTAGAATAACTCCCTTGAACAGCAGGTCATGGTGAGAGCTTACATCCCACTTTGTGGCTTACAGCTGCTGTTAGTTCCCACCAGTTGGGAGCTGATAACTGATTTCCTTGTTGATGGCAGTCGTTCAGTTCAGTGGGATGAAGTATTTGTGCTACGTACGTGAGCATTTCAGTGCTGCACGTTGCGAGTGCTGGCACAACAGGCAAATACTTGTAAGGTAGCTGAATGAGCTGTTGAGAAATGTTTGCAAATCTAATTGCTATATTAGATGGATAATATTCATCTGAATTGCTGGAACACTTTCTGGAGAGCAGCCAAATTTGGACCTGCTCCAATGCCTTTCTGCTACATTGTGCACAGAGAAAGGGAATGGGGCAGGTCAGAGAGAGCGGTTCTCAAGCAGACAGCTGCAGGGATTTGCTACCAGCTGGGGAGAGGATTTCAGAGGAACTTGTTGTCCTGCCTGCTCTGCCTGCCCTCAGAACAGGGTCGAGGATACGAAAAGTGAGCTCCACTGGGAAAATGACTGCTTGGTGCTGCTGAGAGACAGAAGAGTCACTGAACTGCGTGCCTTTGGCAGTGTTTGTGCAGTTGGATAAGGTAGTGTTACATCTTCCATAAGGTGAAAATGTCACTGCTTTTGCACTTGGTGGCAGCAGTGCTTTAAGAAAATGCACACCCATACATAGGTGTGAAATGGGTGCAGCCTTAAAAGAAGCCAGTAGATGGGCAGCATGAAAGCCTTGGCATTTGAGAGAAATCTGGGCTTTAAAGACTGCTGTTCTTTGTGGTTGGAAGTGATTCCGGATGTTGCTCAGAGTGCTGCTGTCCTTTTGTTTCTGGTAGTTGAGGTCCTGCGCAGTGACAGCTCCAAAGCAAGAAATGGTGCTCGGTAAGACTTTTTTCCCTGGTTTTTGCACTCAACATTTGCATTTCTGAACAAGGGGCTGCATGGTTTACAAACACGATGACTGAACAATTTGTGAAGTTCTGAGCACGTCCTTAGAAAGAATTGTACTGTTGTACATTCAAATACGGGATTGTCTTTCAAAGCAAGTTAATTGCAACTTTCTTTAACATAACTAGCAGTAGGACCCTTTTTCCAGCATTCAGCCAAACTGCTCTGTACTCGCTCAACATCATGTGAGAGCGCTGGCTTTGCATTCGGAAACTGACTGTTGGCAGGTTTTTCTTTATCTGCTTCGTTTAAAGTTGTACAACTGCATGGGCTGTCAGCCTTGGGCATCAGAACAGGTGCTTTGGTGTGGCTGAGTCCAGCAGCACAGACGGTTGGCATGTTTTACAGGCACTCGCAGGTACGGAGCCACAGCTGGGAAGGTTGCATAGAAAGATTTAGGTTCAATTGATCTTCATTGAGCAACTAAGTGTGTTGTGAGGTGCGTGTGTATCCTGCTGCCTCTGTTGTGAGGACAGCACCTGGTGTTAGGAGTGCAATGTTGATGAGACTGGTAGGGTTTTGGCTGCCACAGCAGCTGGCTTAGTAAATTTCTGCCTTAAAAGGACGGAAATAAGCATGGTGTTGCACTGGCTCTCATACATCAGTCGACATTCCTAGTTCAAAAACTGTGAGCCTCTCCACATACAGTATTCTTGGATTTACAGCTCTTGTGAAAATGCTTGAGCTGAGTGCAGGTTTTCAGTATCACGGGCAAATTCTGTTCTGTTTTGAGGACATGTGGTTGAATCTCTTGACTGTCCCTGCTGTGCAGAACTGTTTCAGGGAGCACAGCAGCAGTAGGCAGTTCTCTCCATGAAAGCTAGCAAGCTGCAGTTTAGAGCTGGTCTGAAAAGCACTTGTCTCACTCCAAAGTACAGAGTATTTCTCCTTCCAAATGTGTGCTGAATGCAGCTTCTGTTCTCGAGTCAAGGATACAAATAAAAAGCCCAAAATAAAAAGATTTATTTGAGATTTAGTTTCCCAGCGATAAATCAGACTGCATAAAAATAAATATAATCCTTAAAGAAGTGCCACTGGTGCACAAACAGCACGATGCATGCCTTTTACATTTCTGTTTCACAGCACAGAGGTATCAGAACTGTTTGCTTGGTTGACAAGATACCGAAAGAGAACAGTTGCAGTATTTGAAGATTGATTTGGGATGATGTCCCGTGCAACTTGGTGGGATAGAAGTGACCACATGTAACCTGCAGTGAGCACCAAGCCACTTTGATGGGTTTACAGTACTGCGAGTATGTTGAGTGTTTGTACAATGTGCAGCACGCTCCGATGAGCTCTGGAATAGCTGAGTTGATGTGTAAGAAGGCAGGAGAACTCACAGCTCACTTAGCTGAGTAGCCTGGAGTCTTCCTGTAGAAGTGTTATCTAGTGCTGGTTCCTTTCTTTGCTCAGAAAAGTGCTTCCCTGCTTGGGTATGGAATGCCCAATAATAGTGATAAGAGCTTGTGTGGTTTTAGTCCCACCTAACAGGGCTTTTGGTGTTCCTGAAGGATCCACTGTATAGATCACATAAGTGCTCTGGAACATACCTACAGCACTTACTGCTGTGTGCAGGATTACATTTCATGTGCAGCGTTGTCTGATCGAAGCACGCCAAAAAGGAAAGGCTTCACTTTTGATAGTAACATTCAAGCAGCAGCAGCACTTCCTAGGACCAAGGGAAAGCGAGGCGATGGTTGTGCAGACTGCACATCCCCAAGGCTTTGTGCATGACAGTCATTCACTTCAGGTTGTTGTGGCACGGTATGAATTGTCACGTGTACCACACCTGGGATGGGGCAACGGTACATTTGACATTGATGCTGAGGTCAGTGGGTGATTCTACTGGATCTCTTACGCCTTGTGGTTTAACTAGGCCTGCCTCCTACCTACGGGGTGTTTATAAGAATGTAATTTTGAAGGCGTTGGTCTGAAATGAAGCCTTATGGCCTCTGTGTTTGACCTGCCAATCCACTGGATTACCTCAGTGCTTTAGACAGGAAGGCGTAGATGTGTTGAACTGTGCTCAGTGGGGTACAGATGTATCAGACTGCTGCACTGCTAGGTGTAACTGCACAGTGCCGAGTGAATGAAGACAGCTATTGAAGTGAAGGGCTTGAAAAGTTGAGATGCTGATGATTAATTCATCGCTCCTCGTCAAAACCTTGACGGTTAGTGCTAATTCTCTGGCGATATCCAGAACTGAGCTTAGGGGGAGAATCTGTGTGTATTGTTCTCCATTCTGTCTTTTCCTACAGAGGACTAACCCAAAGGGCCTGGACAGCTCTGAAGATGCTGGTTCAAATGAAAACAAGACTGTTAGTGGCAGTGATTCCCTTCTTCTCACCAGTGGAAGCTGCAGACCTTCTCGATCTCCCAGGCCTTCCCCGCAGACCCCCATCAGCAGTTGGTGCGTATTCTAGGGCCAGAATCCACTCCAAGCTGTGGATTCTCTGTGCAGTCTGAAAATGAGCGAAACATTTTCTGATGCATAAAAACTAGTTTTTTTGAAGGTAAATTCTAGGATACATATCTTCTATTTCAATAGCTTGCATTCTGTATCATTGTACAGAAAACCCTTCCTCGGGTTCGGCTCCTCTGTGCCCTGTTGCTGGCTGGAGAGAAGGGCTGCCCGCTGGGCACAGAGAGTGCCTTCTAGCCGCCGTCCTGTGCCCTGCAGCCCCCTCCTCATCCTGTGCGGAACGCCACTCCCAGCAGCACAGGTGCCATTGTGGAACCTTCCCCATGTCACAGCCGTCTCCTTGGTCACTGCCGCCCCACCTGGCACACTCGTCTCTGAGAGTGCTGGGCAGGTGGCAGCCATGTCCAGCACGAAGAGAGCGAGAGTTCAGGAGAGCATAGTTATAAATGGGAAGAGGGAGCTGGGGGCCCCAGAACCGAAGAGGAGGAGGGGGCCCACCATGACCATCAGGCAGCGGAGGGAGAGGAGGAAGGGAGCCCGGTTCCATCACGCCCGGGCCAGCGCTGTGAGCGACCATGGGGAGCCCATGGAGGTGGATCCGCCTCCAGAGGAGCCCATGGAGGTGGATCCGCCTCCAGAGGAGCCCATGGAGGTGGATCCGCCTCCAGAGGAGCCCATGGAGGTGGATCCGCCTGCGGCACAGCTGGCCTGGCACCACACCACCGTGCCAGGCCCTGTGTTGGCGCACTCACAGCTCCGCCATCGCTGGTCCGGGCGCTCGGCTCCCTACCCACTGCGCGGCCCCCGCCCCCGGCATTAGCTGGGTGGCATTGCTGACATCTGCTCCTCCTCCACCTTGTTGCTCCTCTGCGGTTCTGTGGGCCCCCAGTTCCATCTTCCCCCCGTAGGAGTTAGGTGCCACTTCTGGGCTTTGTTGTTGATTTTAGTGTTAGCTTAGTTTTAGTGTTCAGTTCAGTTTTAGAGTTAGGCATAGGTTACTGTTAGGAGTGTAGAGTTAGGCATAGGTTGCTGCTGCCAACTGGCAGTAAATGCTGCTCACTCGGTAAGCACTCCCCTGATTTATCTTGCAGAGAAATGAGTGCGACTGCCCTGAGAATGGAGGTTTGATGACGTCTGCGATGAACTGACTTTCTGTCTTGTGACTATTCTGTTGCAGAACATGGAGGAGCAGAGCGTGAGTGGCTGAGAAATGGAGTTGGGACTCAGGGGAGCCATAGGTGCTGTGTCACAAACTCCCTGAGTGGCCTTTGCAAGGTAGGTGTGCCTTACTGTGAGCGTGCGCTAAGGCACTGCTGTTCAAACACAGCTGGTGGCACTGTCTGCAGCATGTCTGCTTTCTGTTAAGCTTTTCCCTTATTTTATGTCCTCCTGTTTTTTTCAGCTCCTGCTCCCCTCGCCTGCAAGTGGAGCAATGCTCAAGCTTGAGGAGACTTTTCCTGGGCAGGTGGAAAAGATGGCGCAGCTGCAGGTTTTGTTTCCTTCTTTGTTATTGGGTCAGTAGACCGAGGATATCTTCAGAACAGCTCTAAGTCAGCCTGTAACAGCAGTGTGCGTGAGACAATAACGACTCTTTCTCCCCTCTTGTAGAAAGCAGCCTCCTTGAGAGTAGAAGAGCAGCTGGCTGCCTGCTGTGTGGCTGCTGTGGGCATTTCTCCCAGCTGAGATCCCCGAGCCCACGCTGGCAGAAAATGTGCTGTGCCACCATCTCTTCTGTGGGGCCACTTTGCAGCTGCTCTGCATTAGCTGCAATTGTGCCAGTTTCCAGGTGCCATAAGCCAGTAAGTTGTGCTCTATGAGGCTGATAGAAAGGCACGGGCAATGGGCAGGGAGGGAACAATCTGCAGCTGTGGCCTACGGTGGTGTGCCCGGCACTGCTGAGAGTGCCGTCGTTTGTCCTGCCCTTCCTTCCATGTGCGCGTGTTCCTGATGCACGCCAGGAGCCTTGGGGTGCAAGCTCTGCTGCTGCTGCTGTGCTGTGTGTGCTGCCAGGCAGTGTCCAAGCCCTGTGCAGGCGCTGCCTTGCAGGAGATGGCTTTGGGTTCCAGTTTGTATGGGACTTTTGGGAAGGAGATAGAGGTGGAGTTTCTGGCATGCCCTGATGGCAGGAAGGTGGTTTCCAGTGCTGGCAGCCAAAGCTGCCCGGGCGGGTGACTTGAGCTCCCCAAGAGAGCTGTCAGCCACTTGTTACCTGTGAAGGTTCCCTGACCGTTTCTGCATTGATTCTTGTAGGACTGGCGCAGTCTTGGGACTCAGACTTGGGAGACAGTGAAGAAAGCCAAGGCAAGTGCTGCTCTGCTGAGGAAGGAAGCCCAGAAGAAGAGCAAAAAGAACTGACAAGGGCTTGAGCGAGAAGGCCCACAGGACACTCGAATCAGCTGGAATGCTTCCTCAGAGGTGGCACCAAAGGCAGCGGACTGAGTTGCCTGGTTTTCACAGACAGTGCAAAGGAACTGAGGCACCTGGAAGGGAAGGGCTTGTGCTGCGTTCCAAGCAAAGAGGGCTTGCCAGAGGCAGGACTTTGGCTATGGCAAGAGATGCAGAGGCTTTGTTCCTTCAGGCTGCGTCTCTTCAGGGCCAGAGCCGGTCTAGTATGAGATTGAAATACGGCTAGCTGGGCCTGGAGAGAGAGAAGGTGACGTGGCCATAGGATCAGGCTTCTTGTGTCTGCCTGGAGGCTGAATTGCTAAGCAGAAATCCTGGACACTGGGGTTTCATTTTGGGCTGTGTTGATAAATACAACCCAAATCCTTCTGTATTGAATAAAAGTGAAACCAACCTTTTAAAATGGTGCTGCCTCTTTCTGTAGCTGCTTAAAAGGTCCCGTGCTTGGGCTGGCAATCGCGGGGCCATGAACCGGTCGGCTCTCCCCTGAAATTCTGCTGGTTTTCCCCCGTTTCCTTGTTGGTCTTCCCAACGGGTGGCCTTTCAGCCCATCTGTAACTGCTAGCGACAGGCTGTGAGCATCCCTTTGTGCTTTTGCTAGCGGTCCTTGGAGAGCAAAGAAAGGGAAGCAGCCCAGGAGAAAGAAAGGCATCCCTGCACTCAGCCCCTTGAGCTTGCCTCCCTTCCCTGATGGCTTTTTCAGCCTTGGGCTGTGCTGAGGGCTGCTGTTTGCCCTGGGAAGCCCAGCTGCACACGGCAGCTTTGGCCTGCATATCAGCCTCCCGATGAGGCACAAGGAGTTGAGGTGTGGGTGGGATGGCTTGAAGAGCAGCGCTGGGAGTGGGGAGGAGGAGAGGGCAGCGGGAGCACGTGCCTGGGGCCCAGAGCTCAGCCCCGAGGAAAGGAGCTGGTTGCAAAGAGAAAGCCAGCTTCCACTGTTTCTAAGTGGTCATTGCATCCTAGGTCTGAGTCTGGATCCAGCGGGGCTGAGTCACCTGCAGCAGCTCCTCGGGGCTGGGTCTGAGCCCAGCGCCCAGGGCTGCGCTGCCTGCAGGAGAGCTGGGGCTGGGGCAGCCGGTGCGGGTGCAGCATGTGGGGATGTGGGAGGGCATGCGGCAGGGGGTGTGTTGGGCCCGAGCCCCGCTGGCGTTTGTCACAGCACAGGGGCTGTGGGGGATGCTGGCAGTGCAGAGCGGGGAAAGCCGGGCTGTGTGTAGGCTGGGGCATGAAATCTTCCCTCGGCACACAGGGAGCTACTGAGGTTTTACCCCAAGATCTTCGTGCCCCTGGATAATAAGGCTCTGCAAGCAAAAGCAGACGGGCACTCCTGATCCTTGGGGCTCAGGAAAGGGCCAGAAGAAGAGGGGTGGCCAGCAGGGACAAGGAGGTGATCGTCCCCCTGTGCTCCCACTCTGCTCTTGTGAGGCCCCATCTGCAGCGCTGCGTCCAGGTCTGGAGCCCCAGTGCAAGGAGGACAGGGAGCTGTTGGAGAGGGGCCAGAGGAGCCACAGAGATGAGCAGGGGGCTGGAGCAGCTCCCTTACAAAGACAGGCTGAGGGAGCTGGGCTTGTTCAGCCTGAGGAAAAGAAGGCTGCGGGGTGACCTCATTGCAGCCTGCAGTGCCTGAAGGGAGCCTGCAAACAGGAGGGGAGTCAGCTCTGCGAAAGTGTAGATAACAACAGGACAAGGGGAAATGGTTTGAAATTGATTTCAATCAATTGGATTTTTGATTTTTTGATTTCGATCAATTGGAGATTTAGGTTGGACGTCAGGGGGAAATTCTTCACAGAGAGAGCGGTGATGTGCTGGAACAGCTGCCCAGAGAGGCTGTGATGCCCCGTCCATCCATGGAGGTGTTCAAGGCCAGGCTGGATGCGGCCCTGGGCAGCCTGGGCTGCTATGAAATGGGGAGGTTGGTGGCCCTGTATGTGGCAGGGGACTGGAGCTTCATGATCCTTGATGTCCCTTCCAACTGTGGCCATTCTGTGATTCTTGTGATCCTTTGCTGTTTCATGTTCCTGCTGCTGCTACATAGGTTGATGTTGGTTTACTCTGTTTTCCTTGTTGTTTTTCTGTTGTTTCTGTCTCGATTTCCTGCTACTTCTGCTTTGCAATGCATTGGTTTTTTTCCAGTTTTGTTGATTTTCTTTTCCCTTCTGTTTCTGTTCTTTGAAGTCCTTTTTCCTTTCCTAAGCACATTCCCTTCTGTTTGCAAGGATTTCAGGTGATTTTGCTTTGCTTTCCTTGGCTTTTTAGTACTTGCTCTTTCTTTTATTTTTCCTGGTTTTGCTTGGCTTTGGTTTGCTCTTTGGTTTTGCGTTAGTATCTTGGCCCTGCACTGCTTTTAGATTTTCGTTCTTTCTTTCCATTGCTATGCATTGGTGAGCGTTTTTCTCAGTTTCCTTTGCTTGGATTCTTTGTTTTGCCATGATCGTTGAAGGGAACTGTTGTTGTGCGGACTACCTGACAGTCCTGAAAGGGTCAGTAACGTGTTACAGTGTTTCATCCTGAAAGGGGGGATACTTTTCGCAAAAACAACAGTGACTGATTAGCAAAAGAAGAAAGAACTTATACTTCGGTAAGCAGAACACAAGAAACTAAGATAAGGAAGTACAAGAACAGCTGCTTGCACACAAGCCTCTGCTTTGTGCTTTGTTTCACACTAGCTAATTATTTATGATCTTGTAGTGTATCCAGTCTATAAAAAGAATGAGCCTTCAATAAACATTGCTTTTGCGCCACCAGAGCCTAAGCCCATCTGTCCCAGGCATCTTGAGCTGGTCTCTGTCAGATCGTGTATCGAATTCACTGGCTTTCCTCTTGTACCTCTCAACCTTGTTTTGCTTTGCTTTGTTTTCCTTCTTTGTTTTGTTTTGCCTTTTTGGTTTTCCTGCAGCGAGCCTTTTTGCTTTGCTTTCCATTGTCTTTGTTTCCTATTTGTTGGTTGGTTGTCTTTCCTGCTCCTTTCTTTGCATGATCTTGTTCCTTGCTAGAATCATTCTTTCACATTTCAGAGTATGTTTCTTGGCTGTGCTTTGCATCCAATCTCTGCACCACAACTCTATGTCAGATTTTATTTTGGGGTGGAGGAATGTACATAGGTCATAGACTTGTACAAGAACAGCTATTGCACTGTGCCCAGGAGGTGATGAAAAAGAGCCCTGAGGAGCCAGGAGCACAAAGGCAGCGTGTTTCTGCAGAGGTCGCAGCGTAAGCACAAGTGAACCTTGAAGGGCTGCTTTGTAGCTCTCCAGGAACTGCTTTTGGGTGGGGGATTTTCTGGAGTTGTTTCCAGTTGTTGCTCGGAGGAGCTGAGGCTTTTTTCCTTGTATCTTAGCAGGAAAGCAGAGCGCGGGGAACGTCTGTGGTGAGATGCTCAGGTGAAATTGCCTTCCTTGCACCAGCAGCCGGTTTGTGTCCACGTGATGCATGGTGAGGAGAAGCCTGCAGTTCTGTGAGTAAGCCTGGCAAATGGAATAATGGCTGTGGCCTTTTTGGCAAGTGTGTGAGGAGGGGTCTTTGGACAGGCTGCTCTTTGGTTGGTTTGGTTTTGCAGGGAAATGCCATTTAAGTTGTTAGTTGCAATGGTTGGTTGGTGCTTGTTTGAAAAATATTTGTCATCTAGACAAGCAGTGCTCTCGCCCCAAGGAAGTGAGAAATCTCCTGTGCATCCACGAGCATCTCTCTGTCTTCTCCACGAGCCTTCCATTGCCTTTCCACAATGCCTCTAAATGCCTGTAGAAGTGGTGGGGGGATAAATGGGGAAGAGATGAGGTACAGTTTCTGTGCATGCTCTGTGCACGGAGCAGGCATCACCTGCTGAGAGCTGGGAGCCCTGCAGAGCATCGTGGATTTGCTTTCCTTCCTTGTTGGGGCGCAGTGCTTTTGAAGGTGCTGTGTGCATTTGAAGTGACTGTGAACGCTGCTGAGACACCAGGTGTCCTAGAGAGAGCCCCAAGGTCCTTGGTTTATTAAGGGCCTTTTTCTCCATCTCTCAGTTGTTTTTTCTTCCTTTCTTTCTGTTGGTCTGACATACGTGGCCCATCAGGTAATTCAGCGGGGAGTGGTGCCTTCTTGACCAAGGAAGAGCCCTTTGGTCCCAGCTCATGGGGAGAGGTTAGGATTGCTGAAGGGAGAGAGGATTCTTTGAGTGATGTGAGGGGTGTAGGAAGGGAGCTGACAGGTTTAGGGTTCCTTTGCTGTGCTCTGCCCAGGCTGTGACAGTGCTGGGGCTCGATTTTGAGTCACTCTGAAGACAAAATGAGACAAAGGGTGTTTTGTGCAGCCTGGACCCCTGCAACTCTGCTGTAGGGGCTGCAGCCCAGGGTAGTTGCCTGTCTCCACAATTGCTGACCACGCTCTTCCCTTGTCCACCGTGATCACGGCCAGCCCCTGAAGCTCCAGTCATCAAGACCCCGTACGTCATGTCCAACGCCATCTGTCTGCGCTCCCCATGGCTGTGATGGGTGCTGCTACCTCATGTCCCCTCCAACTGCCAGGCATGCAAGCTTCCTCCTGCTTCACCAGCTCTCCACTGGCTCCGACACCCTTGCCACCTCCAGTGTCATGTGGTGGAAATGCATGGTGCTGGGGCAGGCCCACACTCCCACCCTGACAGCAGGCACATTTCCAAAAGCTCTGCTCACTTCCTCATCCTGCTGGCTCGTGAGAAGATCCTGTTGTCAGCTCTGCCGACCAGCACAGCGGAGGTGGGATTGGTTACGGGCAGCTGGAAAACAGCAGGGGAATAACCATTTCCCCCTTTGGCTGTTATTTGTTGAGAAATGCTGTCTGATGAGTGTTGAGTCAGGGCCTGAACCACTGATGGAGCATATGGGGAAAGGACCCAGTCAGCCCTGGGAGCATAGGTGAGGGCAGTTCAGTTGTATGATGGAATGAGGGGAGCCTGGCTGCACCTCTCCTAGACCTCATTGAAGGGCTGCCTGCTTTTCACCTTTTTATTAATGGAGAGTGTTGTTTCTAACACAGAGCAAAGTTTCAGGATTAACAGAAACAAACACGGAACTTTCACAGAATCACAGAATCACAGAATTGTAGGGGTTGGAAGGGACCTCCAGAGATCATTGAGTCCAACCCCCTGCCAAAGCAGGTTCCCTACACCAGGTCGCACAGGTCGGCATCCAGGCAGGTCTTGAACATCTCCAGAGAAGGAGACTCCACCACCTCCCTGGGCAGCCTGTTCCAGTGCTCCGTCACCTCACTGTAAAGAAGTTCTTGAGCACATTGGTGCAGAACTTCCTATGCTGCAGTTTCCGGCCGTTTCCCCTCGTCCTGTCTCCACTCACCACTGAAAACAGTCTGGCCTCGCCATTCTGCCCCCCACACCTCAGATATTTATAGACCTGGATCAGGTCCCCTCTCAGTCTTCTTTTCTCAAGGCTG